CACGGGAAACATGGAGGAGATGCGTGGACAGGGACATGAGAGAAACAAAGCTCACTTGGAACGAGCTTGGAAGGATGGCTCAGGACAGAGATAAATGGAAGGAGCTTGTATGTGGCCTATACCCTGCCAGGGGTGACAGGCATTGATGATGATGATGAAGACCATCAGAGTGAAAGGTACAAAAACAAAAGAGAATAGAAAGGAAACTCAAAAGCCATCAGATTCTACACTGTCAATTTTTCAGTTTTTATCCTCACATGGAATATGTTGCTGTTTTCAAATTCCTTTAGCTGCGAGCATTTCACTCTTAGATGGAATATAACAAAAACAAGACTAACTCACTTACACAGATGATCATCACCTAAAACTTAGGAAATACTTTCTCCATATCCATCTGATCTTTGGCTTTATTTTTTTTCATGATCAAAGTAATTTACAGAGAAAAATTCTTTGGTTGAGCAAAAACAATATAAAGAAATTTCCCATGACTTTGGTGCTTATTGATCTATTAACCCTATCTGTACGCCCTGGGGTCATTTTGTACCCACGGGGTTGTATTCTTCACATTTTACAATACTTGTAGTACGAAGATCTCTTTGAAACTTTCAGTATTTCTCAAAAAATCATTTTGACAGACTACTTAGCAAAGTGTACGGATCGGATTAATGAGTAAATTTTCTCTTTGGAAAGTGGTGGCACAGAGATCCCCATGTCATACGGATACGATAGTAAAACATGACGTATGGATAGGGTTAACAATAAAATGGAAGCTGGAAACACAACCTACCAGTAATGGAATCGGTTTCCATCAGGTCCTCAATCATCTCAAAAGCTGTGAGGAAGCCCAGGGAGTGGTTGGTAGACACTGAGGAGAAAGTTTTTATAGTTTTATTAAGAGTTCTACAGCACGTTCAAAACAACAAGGTCATATAAGTGCCAAAGATTAGAGGTGTTACAAGAGAGTAACAAACATAAAAAAGGAGGAGAGATCAGGACAATAGATGTTTGTTTTTTTGTTTTTGTAGAGGTTTTACTGCGCTCGCAACTGCACACCAGAGCACTCGCCAACCACTCACACTGAGGAGAAACAAGTCAACGACTTGGCTATAATACACCTCCACAGGGACATCCACATCTCTCGTATATGGTCGCTTTTAAAGACAAACGGGCTAAGCCAGACTTCGGGGGTTTCCAGAAATCTTGACCACACCGAAAATGGACATTGCCCTACCTATAGGAGAAGTTTGGTTTCATTGGTGAGTATATTTGTTTGGTTAAAGAAAAAACTCTCCTTGTCTTTTAAAGAAACTGAACAAAGGGCAAAAACTTTATCTTCAATTTTCTAAAAACAGCATTTTTTCGGGATAGCCCCCTTGTGCTTAAAAGCGACCATATGTAAAGACAGTAGATTACACAAGACTTTGACTAAGAAAGGAAGTAACCGTGACCACATTTTGTCAGTAACAGAAAGAATAACATCGCACAATCAAATTGATCAAGACTGAGACCCAGACATCTAAGAAAAAGTCTTTGGTATTCTGTATCATCTGGACGATTTCCCCCATGGGCTCAATATAATGACAATGCAACCCCCAACCCTATAACAAAAACAACACCAACAACAAAAAACCCAACCACAAAATAATTATTCTGCGATACACAGGATATTTAACTACTTTTATTACATAAAAAAACAACTGGAATTCCAAAACTTACCATCCACCTTCTCCAGCTGATCGATGAACTTGCTGAAGTAGAACCTCGTCTCAAACGTGGCGGGAACCATGGTGTGGGGAAGACACGGGTCTGACCGCGGGTACTGCGGCTTGTTCGACAGAGCAATCACGCCAATCTGGGACACGATGAGAAAATGTGGAGGAGGGTAATGGTCAGTCTCTTGAGGAACGGTTTGTGTCTTGTCTTTGTTTTAGAAAGCATTTTACGGCACTTGCAACACAATAAGGTCATATAAGTGCCGAAGATTAGGGGGTGTTACAAGAGAGTAACAAACACAAAAAAACGAAGGAGGGGGAATAAAGATGATAGATGTTTGATAGGAAAGAATAAGTAAAACACACCAGAGCACCCGCCAGCCACCTACTTTGTGTCTTGGGGAGTGGCCGAACTCATATTCAGTAATCAATAACCACACATTTCACGTCCCATAATTAAAACCATCCTTATAGCGCAAGCCTTTGTCGACCAATTTTTAAAAAATATCATGTCCATACTTTTCCATCAATAAACCAACACACATTTGATACATCCTCAAGTACTTTTCAACAACAAAAATAAACGCTTGTACATGTGACCAAGATAAAAGAAGCATATCCCATATCCCAACTGTCAAAGCTTTATTAAGGAAAAGGAAAAAAGATGGAAATGAAGTCTAAGAAAAGTAATCCTCACTGTGTCTTTATTTCAAGTTAGAAAAATTCCACACTGTGTCTTTATCTCTAGTTAGAAAAATGTTCACCAAAAAAAACCCAAATATTGTCATGACTGTCTTTATTTTCAGTTACCAAAAAAAAAAAAAGAAAGAAAGAAAGAAAGAAAGAAAGAAAGAAAGAAAGAAAGAAAGAAAGAAAAGTTAAAAATCCAATTGCAGTTGTCACTGTTTATTCTAAGCTACCAAACAAAAATATTGTAAAAATTCAAATGCAGTCACGACTGCATCTTCATTTCAAGCTACCAAAAAAAATGTCCAAAAAAGCTAGAATTTAATGCATTTCACGAAATCGTCATGCTTGACCGTGTTCCCAAGTCCCCCGACTGACTCACCCTGTCGTTGTCGGAGAAGGAGGCAATGAGGTGTTTGGTGATGGCCTTGGCCGTCTTGAGCTGTGTGGGGCTGAGGGAGTTGCCGTGGTCCATCATGATCACCACGTACTTCCTCTGGGGCTGAATGGTGCGCAGAAACACGTCCCTGGGAAAACACACAAAAGGGAACGTTTATTATTTCCACTGTCAAACATAGTTTTAAAAAGTTTCAATAAATAAAAAGTTTCAGTTCAGTGTGGTAAGAGTTTTACAGCGCTCGCAGCGACTGCATAAGGACATATGAGCGCAAGTTAGTTAAAATTTTACTGCACTTGCAACATAATAAGGTCATATAAGTGCCAAAGATTAGAGGTGTTACAAAACAGTAACAAACACAAAAAGAAGGAGGAAAGATAAAAACAACAGATGTTTGATAGGAAAGAAGGACCTAACCACATTAGAGCACCCACCAACCACCCACAACATGGGGTGTGTCTGTATCTGCTTTTCATAACTTAACCAAATGCACCAACCAACACTCCCCCTGATAATGCTGCAGCAAGTATTTTAAGAACGTCAACAAACTCTTCAAAAACACAAACACACACACGCACACACGTACACATTGATGGATGAGGCGCAAAAATGACAGTGGGGACTGTGAAATTAAAGCACACACGCCCGCTGATAGCGACCGGCGCCGCTCTCAAACTATTTGTCCACTATCTCAACGCACACATGCGCTTATACTGAACGTTTTTTGAGCAGCTTTGGAAGGCTTTTCATTTCCCCACTTCACCACCTCGGCTGCTCAAAAAAATGTTTGTCTCCTATCTCAATACATACAACATACATGCTACTGCAGTATTTTATAGCCTTGGTTTTTTGTTGGTTTTTTTTTGGGGGGGGTGGAGTCCACAGCTTGCCTAGCAACCGTGGGGAGAGAGAAGCAGACAAGTCAGACAGATTTGCATGTAAAAGTGAGCCCACAGCCACAGAGAGGTGTCGCAAAACAGTGGCGCCTGTCCCCCTGCATCGCCGGCAATAGATTAAATCTCCGGATTCCCAAAGGTATGCCACGAGGAGTACACAAACAAGTAGAC